TTTGCGGCATTATTTTTCACGTACAGAATACCAGCATAGAGAGAGATAGAGAGTGAGAGGGGACGAGTTTAGTAAGGATAGTGAGCAGGCGGCAGCACATGCTGCGCATCGTTTTCAGATTATGCAGCAGCTATGCAAAAAATTTCGCACGCTGCAAGTGTGAGCGCAAGTTAAAAATAAAAAATAATCTAGCCGTAAAAAGGAGATGAAAAGCGAAAAATGGGCATTAGCTATGGCAAAGCAAAATTATGATAGACGAGCGCAGTCGAGTGTAATTAAAATGGCAATGCGCGCCGCGGTGGTCGGACGCACGAAGTAGCAGACATAGTAGTGGCTAACAAAGCAGCGCAATAAAAGTTGCGATTTGTAACGAGCGTTGCGGAATTTTGCACTGAGCAGCTAGCGGATGTAAGTGACAAACGAAGAAACGCAAGGAATTTGCATATAACGGTTCTTTTATGTGTGCGTTGATAAGTATGTGGCACTTTGCGTGGCGTGTGCGTAAAAGTTAATTACGGAGCGTTAAAAATATCGCAAATAAATATGGGAAATTATTTGAAAGCGGCGAAAAAGATAATAACGTAAATGACAGAATGCTTTAGAGGTAAAACAATATACAAAAAATAAAATAAAAATGTTTAATTTATAAGATTTAAAGTTGATAGTTTTAGAAAAACTATTTGAAAGCGGCGAAAAAAATTATGCCGTAAATTACAGAGTGCTTTCGAAGAAAAAAAACTAAAAACAAGACAAAACTTAAGCTTTGGTTGCACCGAAGCTATAATACCCTTCACACATGCATTTTTTATATAGCATATAAGGATATAAAAAGATATTTATCTCGATTAATTGTTAAGTTCGAATGGCAGCTACGTTATAGAAGCCTAATATGAATAATTTCTTCGGAGATTCTACCGTTGCCTCGGACTAGAATCCATGACAAATTTAAAGAAGATCTCTCATCAAAAACCAAAGTTTTCCATACAAGTACTTGAGTTTGATCGGTAAGTTTATATGGCTATAAGCTATAGTAGTCAGATCAGAACAATTTGTTCGGAGATTGTAGCGATGGCTTGGATAATAAGCAGTGCCAAATTTCGTGAAGAAAACTTGTCAAAAAAAAAAAATTTCCATACAATGATTTGAGATGGATCGGATGGAGAAAAGGATGTGTGAAAAATTCAGGACGATATCTTAAAGACACTAGTTTGCATATTATATTTTTATATAGACGGACAGAGACGGGTAGACAGATGAAGATGGCTAAATCGCTTGAGCTCGCCACGCTGATAATTTATATATATAATATATATTGTACTTTAGAGGGCCTTCGACGTTTCCTTTTGCGTGTTAGAAACATCGTGGCAAACTTAATATAGAACATAGAGATACCAAAAAATATAGAATAAATAAAAACCTCTGACAACTTTAATACCTACACCCAAAATAAAATAGTTCAAAGCAAAATGTTTCCATAACAAAACACACAAAGATTCTCCATACCAATTTTAAAACTACTTTAACTACCGACTGTGCCAGCCAATGCGCTTTTGTAACAGCTTTCTGCTTCAATGAAGTTTAGATTTTTTTGGGGGTGCGCCAACGGGCCAGCATGATTGACTGTCTGTCAGTCGTCTGTCTTTATGTCTAGGTACTCCACTAATACCACTGTTTTATAAGTTCTTGTCTACTATTTTCTTTGTAATATTTTTTTCCCCTCGACGCGTTAGTTTGTCTGCTAGTGGATTGGTTTTAGTTGGGGGAGTCGTGACTTACTGCATTGTATTGTCACTGTGTCTAATTAAGCGTGAAAAAGTCGTTGAAGAGTGACAAAGTTTTCTGCTGGTGTGGTTGCTACTTGTATTTTATTACTTTGTTTCTTTGTAGAGTTTCGATTTAAAGTTTTTACTTTAGCATGCAAAGAACCCCAAGTGAGGGCGTTGAGAGAGTTGCTTTATGTTTTTTTTAAGTATAAGGAGTGATTTTTTTGAGATTAGATTTGGCTTGGATTACTTGAAATTCACTAAGAAAGCTTTGAGTTGGAAATTTATATCGCGAAAAATAATGTTAGATAAAAGCTGCCAAGCTCTTAGTAAATTTTAGGGTAACATAGATTGAAAATTTAATGAAATTAAAAATTTTGTACTAGTTGACCTACCGGGAATGGGTTAAATTTTTTGTGATCTCAGTGGACATCTGGTTTTGGCCAGAAACGGAGACTTATATAATCATAATACGTACAGTTGGTTAAAGATTCTTTGAATTTATATCATCTCCTAAAGCCACTTAATTGTAGATTACAGACACATATTTATAATATTTTAACTCTAAACTGAATATACTGTTTAATAAAAAGAAATGCTATTTTTTATATTATACATACATTTTGCCATGAATAGAGAATTTTTCTGACATATCAGTCCAGTTGTTGAATATTGAGCACGTTGCATTGTGTTTTTCAGTTATTTATATAAAGTTTAAGCACTTTCAAAGCACTAATAATATTGAAAATTTAACTTGTGAAACGACACTCTTTAATTATTCATACTGTTTGAATGAACTTGTGGAACGGCTTTGCTCACTAGCTCAAATGTTAAAATGAACTTGTGAAACGGTTTTGCTCACTAGCTCAAATGTTAAAATGAACTTGTGAAACGGCGCTTTTGATTAAATTTAATTCAATGTAGAACATCTAGTACACTTATCTTTAAACCAAATGTATATTGAACTTGTGAAACAGCACTTTTCATTAATTTCAATGATATATTCATTTATGAAATTTTAAACACTATGTAAACGTAGTAAAATTGAACTTGTGAAACGCGTTAAATATGATTTCGTTTTGAGTAACACAAAAATATGCTTAATTAAACTTGTGGAACATTTCAAGAGTTTTTGGGGGATACGATTATGTTAATCGAATATTACTTTTTACAAGTTTTTCAGCGACGCGACATTTTAGATTTCGAAATTCAAACTAAAATGATAGACATTTCATAACAAAAAATCGAGAAAAAGCGGAAGCAAATAATAATAAAATAATCACAAAATTTCCAAAAAAAAATTATAATAACAGTTAGTATGTTCGTTAACTCAATTTATTAAAGATATTTAAAAGATTTTGCAAATTTAATACTCTCATTTAAAATCGTAAAAAATAACACCAGGTTTAACTTGAATTACCGCAAATGTTTAATACAAAAAACCGAGAAGGATACAACTCACATATATTTCTGAAGGGACAATGGGAAAAATGTGTGAAACACACATAAAGGGTGACAACAAGCCACATGTGACAGCAAACAAGACCGAGCACCCCTGAGTACCAAGTGGAAAAACACGCTTCCAACTCGAAGCTTGCAAACAATGCGAAAAAAGTCGAGTAAACAAAAAATAGCGAAAAGGCGGAAGCAAACAGGACTGTAGAGCTTGAAAAAGTAAGCAGAATGAGTTGAATGTGTAAATAAGAAAATTTATACAACTAGGAAAAAGCATAAAAATAATTATGAGCACAGGGATGTTAGTTAAACACAATGGTAAATGCTGATTAAGCGCCCTAACAATCACCGTTCCTAAGTGGTTGGGGGTAGGTTACGCAAAATGCCGCGCTTCCAGCAAGCGGCACGTATGCTAGCGAGGGTGGCCACATATATACTCATATACGCAGTGTTGAGTGGTTTTTTGGTTTGGGAGAAACCCAGATATGAGGTGACTAATAGAAAAATTCGCCCAAACAGCATATGAGGTGTCACTTATGACTCGCTTAAAGAGTGGTACAACGAAATGTTGACTGTCTGAGGGTGCGTGTGTACGCTTAGGCTGCCGACAGAAATTGAAAGTGTGCACAAGGCTAAATTTTGGACTAAAAGCAGGCTAAACTTGTGTCAAAACTGATTTCTGCTAAGGATAAGCGTATATACATACATATTTATATACAAGTTAGTATTCATCTATGTTTGTTTAAGCAGTAAGTCAGCTTGGAAAAAGGGGGTGGGCCACTTTGAACACATGTCAGTGGGGTGGCACGGTAATATTTTGGAAGCTTGTCTTGCTTTTTGGTTATTTTTATTGAACAGTTGTTTATGAGGATATTTATTTTTACTAACAGACATAAATATATACGAATTTGCTACTAGAAATGCGAAAAACTTTTATGTTAAGAAAACGAAAATTGTTAAATTTCCAAAACTTAAAATTTAAATTTTTGAAGATTTCATTTATATCTACCATGAAAAAATAAAATTGAAAAATGGTATAAGAAAAGTTATTCAAATTTTAAGATTATTATTAGTATTTGAAAATTTTAAATATTAGCTATTATTATGCGTATAGCTTTCAAAAACTATTTATTAGGTTCTAACTTTTTTAGGTTTATTAGGTTTTAACTTTTTATTTGCTGGAACTAAAAAGAATTGAAGCTTAGAATTAATTAAAAATAATAATTTTTATTAAAAATTTTGCTGCTAATTTTCATATACAGAGAGAAATTAAGAGGAGCTTGATTTATAACTAAAATAAGCTAAAAATTAAATTAAAAAAAAATACGAAAATATATAAAAATTTTGAAGTCAAAAAAAAAAACAGAAATAAAAACATAAAAATTTACGAAAAATATAAAATTTTTGATATCAGAAAAAAAACAAATAAAATATAAAAACACAAAAAAAATTTCCTTATACAAATTATTGTTTAAATGTACACAGTATGGTGGAGCAATTTAAAAGAAACATGTAAATGAAAGAATTAATTTTAAAAAAATAGTTGTATTTAAAATTTAGTATAAAAAATTACTCAATTATTCAAATTTTCATAAGATTATTCGATTAAAAAACTAATTAAAAAAAAATATTTTAACTCGATTACAATTATTCAAATTTGCATTAGATTATTCCACAAAAAAAAAAATTTCTTTAAGTCTAAAGAATTATTTTAGTTTTTATTACATTTATAACTGAAAGCATTTTATTTTACAAATACTTTTCAGTTAATTTTTGTTTCACCGAAATATTGCTATATTAGTTTATTAAACACAAATTTTCTGGCACAATACAAAATTTTTTATAATTTAAATTTCTTTTCCAAGTATTTTATTGACAGAAGACATCTAGGAGTACCCTTTTCAAAATGTCTTTAACACTCAATTTTCAAAAGTAAAAATAATTTTCATATTTTCAAAGTATTTCCAACACGTGTTCTTATTCGAATTTCAGTTGCGACCGAGGCAACCAAACGCGACGACTAACAACTTTAGACTGTTGTGCTGAAGTTCCAATTGGATTGGTGTACCTTAGCGGGATAGCAGCAACGCCGGTTGGGACATACACACGCACCTTCGTGCAATGGGCAAGCGAGTGCAATTTTATATGTAGAGATCTTTTGCACCGAAGGGATATTTTGTTGGGAAGTTTTTGATTTTCCAGAGAGTCAGCAAAGTGGGAATCAGCGTTGCGTATGAAAAGAGCGACAAAGAATTTGAATAACAATGTGGATGAGAGCGAGCGGTTGTGGGAGTTATGTTCCTTTTTTCCTATATAGACATATACTTATGTTTAAGTATGAGCATATTTCGTGGATTTCGTTAGGTTTTAAGGAAGACCGCACGAAACTCTTAAATATGCCAGAAAAGTTTCTACGGAAAAGATTTAATTTAGATATAATTTGAATTGGACATACTTACTGAGATTTTAAAGAGATATTTTCAAAACTCGACTTCAAGCCTACGACAACAGTGGAATGAACCTTCAGATCTTTTGACAATCATAGCCACTCATTCTATGCTTTATTCAAAGAGTATCATCGCAGCTGAGGAGACCAGCAGCAACTTTTTAATCTTTCATTGGTTCGAGGGCTCGAAATCTACACTTAACCAGAACGGAAGGTAATCAACAACAGGGTTTTTAGTCACCAAGAACTCAATAATATGTCAATTCTTCCCGCAATATCTATTCTGTTAAACTCCTTTGGGATATCTGAAAATGCTGAAAGATTTGGAGCGTTCAATGATGTCATGATGCCGGTAATTATGAGTACTTTAAAGAAAGTCTGAATTCACATATTTGAAAGAAAGACAATATTCTCACAAGCTATATGACCAAGAGAACAGTCCCACAATCTGAAAAAATCAAAATCAAACAATAAATCGCGAAGAAAACTCCATAGTTAGCAATCCTTGCAGAAAAATTCCGCTTTCTGTTATATAGAGAATGTATGGATTAAATGCAGCTTCTCTATGGCAAGATATTTAGATTGAAATTGTAGTATACTGCGATTGTCAGAACTGGCGTGGTTTCGGCGGTCCACTTCAGGTATTTCAAACCAAGAAATTATAATTTCGGTTAGTATTATCAAGTAGAATTTGATAGCTAACATTAGCGAAACGGAAACCGTAAGTTTGAACAATTCTACAGACACTTTCCTAACAAAAAATTATCCTTTTATGCAGTAAACATGGAGTATATAGACTAAGCTTGCTTTTAGCTTTTCCTTCACTCTCAAGCTCATTTTTTTTTGTTTGCCACTTTAATCCTTAAGCTCCAGCTGCGCTTCCAGCGTGCTTCTAACAATTTCTCAATTTCTTTCACATTCTTCAATAAATGTCTCATCTTTCCCTTTCTATCGCTATAACGATCTCTATAGCAACCATTTATTTTTTATAACTGTATGTAGTTCTGGCTGCTGTGCGCCAAGTTCAAAAATCGCCACTTGGCTGCCACCGAGTCGCGACGTCTGGCTTTGTTGCATCACAACGCATGCTTTAGTTGATGACACATACCATAATAAGAGGCGTAAAAATAACAAGCGACAATGTAATGACAAGTTAAGTGGCAAAAAAGTGGCAAAAAAAGTGCGAAAAATATAAAGGGATAGTAACTGTAAATTAAGTTTTAAACACGACAAACCCGTTATATGGTAACTCATGCCGAGCTTAAGCGATTACTTATAATTGAGCCGTGGATGAGGTTCGCAGCTTGGAATGAACTTTAAAACCACACAATTTTAGAAGTTCAGTATATGAACTGGTTCTCGATTTATCTGAAACACCAGCGGTCTTCGGAAAGCACTCCCATCTTGTTGAAAGTTGATTCTTATAAACGCGAGTTTTCGGAAGATTTTAGCTTAGCTGGGTCAAATTACAGACTGCTTATTGGCGATAATATTTGGGATATGGAAATAATGTTTAAGTTTCTCTAAGGTTCCTCTTCGGTATCCACCTCCGTTCCTTCAAAGATATAAGAAGCGTATTTTTGTATAACCATGATGAAGTTGTAACACTTCTCCAGATAAACTTTAAATGCATATAGACATCAGAATAGAGTTAATAAGTTTCTTCAGTTTGGATTTAACGAAAAATAGAAACCACGAGCGGAACACAGGTACAGAAGAGAGCCACTTGTACAGTCATAACACATATTGTAGATTACAAACAGTCCTAATTAAGACAATGGAACTAAACAAAAGTTGACAAGAAGTAGCCAGTGACTGTCAGACGGATGAATCCAACGGCTTAATAAGTAGTTTAAGAGATCCTTAGATGCTTTTTTATGCCGAACTATTCGAATCTAAAAGGTAGCTATATGAATTTCAAGAAAACACCACAAATGGTCGTAGTCAGGATAAAAGAACTCAAAAGCTGGCCGAAAAAAGCTAGGAATGGTTGGACGGATGGATCTTTTTATCTTATACCATCTGATATGTACTTTTCAGGATCTTTTGGCGCTATTTTGTAAGCTGAACTCTTCGAAAGAATCTTAGAATCTTTAGAATGTCTAGAAATCTAATAATGGAGTTAATGGAATAGAGAATGCTTCATGTTACGAGCTTGTGTGCGCTCCACCACCCCAAAAAATTCAGCTTTGCGGCTTATTGTATTTAAAAGGAGCTCACTCCGCATAAGTAGTCGCGTTTTAGACGCCATTCATGTCATATGACTCATCAAATATGAGCAAAAAGTCTCTAACGACTATAAAAGTATAAAAAATTAACAGCTTTTGTAAGTTTTGTCTGTCTATGGAAGTTTGTTTCTTTCGTGAGCAGTTTTTCCTATTTTTATTTTGCGAGTGGACGAAAGGTTTAAGCGCAAAACAAATATCTGGACCGCCCAGCGAGCAAAGTCAATAGCACTTCCGACTGCTAAGCGAATAAATAATACAAATGCATATGTCAGAAAACTGAAAATCTATTGAAAAACATTAAAGCAAGTGAAGCCATATGAAAAAGTACCATAAACTGACTAACAACTTCATTGACTGCCACAAAAGCGAGCGAAATAAAAGGATGTGCATGAAATAATGAAAAACTTTCGAATGGAAAATTTGTCTGCGATGTTGTCTTAATACCAATACGCAGCATGTTGCATGTATGTACCGTTGTGTGAGCAGCGTGCGCTTTGGTCGTGGTATAACTCCGCCCAGCTGAGTCGCCTGCCAGTTTGCTTGCTACATGTCGGATTACTCGTCAGCTCGTACGTATCGAAAACATTCATCTTCTCAGCCATTCTGCAATTGTACGCCGATATAGGTGGTTTTAGTTTGTAAGTTTGTATAGAGAATTGAAGATGCGTGCATATTTATTTAAAGGCAAGCACGCAAAGCGTGTTATCTTTCATTTATAGTTGTGTTCTTTTTATTAAAAATTAATTGATTTGGTAGCGCGCTGCGGGTTGTTTGGCATGCACTGAGGCACAGCTAGTGGTAATGTGGATTTGTATTTGGTAGCGGGTAAGACCATTACGCTTGGTCTGATGGTAGTCTGAATTAGTTGGCTGAAGGACCAACTGAGCTATGGTCGACCGCAGCTACTTTGAGTTTGGTCTCGTAGCTTCACATTGGCTGAAAAGCTGTGGCCTTATTTCAACCCACATTCATAAGGTTGGAGTCAAGGTTTTTTTATTAGACATACATATATCTATCATGTAACCATACTATTATGCAAAATAGCCATCACAATATTCAAAAATCGCCTGCCCAGAAGAGACCCGAAAGTTTCTTCTAAAAAAGTGGAAAATCATGCAAGAAACAGACAACTCCTAGTAGCTTGCAGCTCAAACTTGAACCGAAGAGCACGTCCGCATGAATAGCTAACCGATGCAGTCTAGTCTTTCATATAAACTCTTAATTGAATTTTTTTTTTCAATTGATATCCCCGAAACGCCATATATTTTTTTTTGCAGAGTCTTCAAGTCTCACAATTATTCGAACTCAGCGTTGGATTTTGAGTTTTCGCGAGCTCTTGGGATGACAGGTCTTCGGAAAGAAAACTAACCAAGAGGCAAGGGTACAAAAGGAGAGCCCAGTTGTATGAATATCTGATACGTGCTGACTAGTCTTTCATATGACCACTTTCTTTGTATTGCTATCTTTGGTACCACATACATATATTTCTTTCTAGAATCTTCAAGTTTAACAATTTTTCGAGCCCAACATTAGGTTTTGAGGTTTCGCGAGCTCGAAGGAGGTCGTCGGAAAAAAATTAACATAAAAGCAAGGGCACAATGCAGCGATGAATTTTTTTATCTGAGCTGTCGTTTGGAACATTAAAGGTTTTTTAGACAATGTTAATCCAACTTAACAAAAGCTCAGTTGAGACTACGAGATCGGCTGTATTGAAGAACTCGAAAATAATACTTTGGTATACTTAGAGAAGCAAATCATCACTGTATAGTCGGTATTGTACATGAGAGAGAGCTGACAGCTTAAGAAATTGGTCTAAATATATTGGCTTTTATGGATAGTGTGTCAAAACTTCCACAGACAAAAATAGCAAGAAATACAAGTGTTGCTGTCGTCTCAGTCAGCGCTTGAAATGAAGTTTAGCGCTGATCAAAAGGAGATTAAGTGGTACAGATCGCTCACTGTCTCAAAAAATATGGAGAAGTTTTGATACCGAGCGAGTTTGAGACGAATTGCATTAGTCAGATGATTGTCGAGATATAATGGCCATTAAGATAGCACATGTCTCATAACTTTAATGTAATATATTTTAAAATGAAACCTAAGATTCACTGTGCATGCTGGATTTCAGCTAAGGGTGCTTCTTCTGCTTTCAAATTGAATTTATAAGCTTTTATAGACTTGGACTAAAGTTTTACTGATCTTTATACAACGCAGTCGTTGTTAGTTCGAAAACTTGTAGACGACGAGAATGCAAGGCCTGTTGGCTTTACTAGATCGACACTCTGGGAGCAGCTGTTCTCTTCTTCTTCTTCTTCTTCTAAGGAAAAGGAAGATGAACTCATGGTGACCTCTGAAGCTAAAAAAATCTCTTATTGAGTTTTATTAATTCTTTAGTTATATCTCATGATTTTAAGAGCACATTCAAAGAAGCTGAAATATAATATGTAGCTTCTACGTCAATGCGAATGAACCGATTCGAGTGAACTTTTAAATTAAATTTTCATCGATATTCAATTTAGTTTTCAAAAGGATAGCGAAATTAATTTGTTCCCTCTGGTCGTGTATATTTTTCTATGCAGTATGCGCATCTTCCTCAGACACACTCACATACATACATTCATACATATGTAGATAAGCACACATGTCTCCCGATGTGATATATGATTGATCCAAGCGCTTACAACCAATTCTTCACTAAATAAAAATAAACAAACAAATAAAGGGAATAGACAATCAAACAACAAAATCAATTAACGCCAGCAAAATGAAATGCAGTGGATTATTTTTCAAAAGGCAAACAACACAAATAAACTACAATAAATGCGACGAAAAGTAGGACAGCAGCAGGAATGAGAAAATTATATACAGACATATTGTAGCTATATTGGTATGCATATATGTGAGAAACATTTGTTGGTATGTTTGTAGACGGCGGCAAATGCTTTGCGTGGGCATTTTTGCGGATTAAATGCTAAAGTGAGGCAAATTATAGTGGCATCGGGTTACAAACACGCATATACTCACATGCATATGTATGTACTCGTACACATAGTAAAACATGTCGTAATTCACACTTGCAGATACATATAAATCTAGTTAGCAGCTTTATTAACAATAATGTCTTCTAGAAAAATTTATATTAGTGTTCATATAAACTAATAAATTTTTCATTAAAATCGAGATCAACAGCATGTAACTAGTTCGTAACTATTTGAGAAAACAAATTTTCATATATAATGAAATAATATAGTAAAATAATGTTTTTACGAATTTTTATAAGCTTTATAG